TCTGAGCACGTCTACAAATTCCATGGATCACAAGATCAGAGATCAACAACAATACATTGGACATAAACGGTGACTTGAAATTACAGTAACAGCCACTACTATATTACATTTTATACTGGCATAAATTCTATTTACACAAACTTCTTATAATGCTTATTCTGACTTCAAAGCTTTCATCTGAAATTTCTCCCTAACACTTCTTTGTCATACAATTCATTCATGGTCTATGTTGGATCTTCTCACTGATAAGCAAAAGGGATGACAGAACATACCACATTTGTGGTCAGCATTTTTATTTTGAAAAATATGGAAAAAATACACCATCACCTTATAGCTTGAAATATTTATTTGGAAAAACAAAGAAACTTAAAGCTTAAGGCTTTACATCATATACCATTTTGAGATGAAAACTTGGAAGATATCCTTTTAACACTTACATTAGGCTTTCTATCTCTCCTTAAAGGACATTCTGCTTTGCACATTATTAGATGTAACATCATGCATTTTGAGGCATTTTGCCAGAACTATATTTTTAAAAATAAAAATGAAGTAACAGGCAATAGATTCTTTTGGCTAGGCAAAAGAGGTCTAAAAACAAATTTTTTATTCCCAGGTAGACTCTACTTTAAAATTATGCCAGTCAGCAGCATAAAATACAAATACTAAGATAAGCTTCAGACGATCTCAGTCACTTCATAGAACTGATTCTGAAAAAAAACCCATCACATTGGCTGTATAAAACCTGATACTGACGGGCTCCAAGAGGTTATCTATAACTTCAAAGTACTGCTTCAGAAAAAGAAAGGTTGCTGTGAAAAGGAAGGAGCATCTGGCTAGCTGGTACACGTTGGCAAACATATCATCATCACTCACATTAAGGGAACGGTTCTGTCCACTTCTTGCCTCATTTTACATGCAATGCCACTGAGCCTTACTCAATACAGTTAGGAAGTGGTAGGATAATACAAAAGTACAAACATGTATCTCCATCCTTGGAGATACGTAGAACTGGACAAGTCCCTGATCTAACCAAACCTGCTCTGAGTCAGAAGTTGGACTAGTTGACCTCCCAAGGTCCCTTCCAACTGAAATTTTTCTGACTCTCTATCAGGGGAACAAATGTTTCCACTACTTCTTTATATTGGCCACAATCTGAACTATAGGTAATAATTACTTTGAGAGTCTGCTACTTTCACCGTCATCAGTGGTAGACTATGTTAGTGGGAGCTCTGAGGTTACCAAACTAGATGATGATGTACACAGCAGTTGTAGCCAAATACGCAGGCCCCTAGCAGACTTCAGTGGGCCTTCTGCTTCATCTCTCCTGACTACAGAACTCTCTAGCTGGACTATTACAGTACAAATGTAAGCCTGGATCTCTACTGTAAAACAAACAAACAAAAAATTACAAAAAATGGAAATCAAATTTCCATCCTTAGGTATTAACATAGTTGAAAAGTCAACTAAATGGAGTTGTTTGTAGTTCTCTCTGAAAACTTAGCAACAATAAATTTTAATACCAAAAAAGGTGACATAAAATTTCATGAATACAACAACTTTACATTGCAGAAGTCTTGGGTTGAAAACTCTGTGTCATAGAACAGCTACTATAATATCCAGTGAACTCATGTAAGCAGTCTTACAGTTCATTAATAAATGCTGACATTAAAGGCTAAGCTGTAATTTGCAAAATTCCTAATTGCTACATCTTTTATGTAATTCCTTCCTGTATTTCCCACAGTCCAGAACAGAAGAAACTGAAAATAACAAAGTTCTCATTTTCATTTCTAGTGACCAACACTTTGCTCACAAGAGTGAAAAGCTCAAGTAAGTTATTTTAAAGAAAGCAGAATATAAAATAATGAAACAAATATGCAATAATAAAACACTAAGGGCAAAATAAATTTATACATAACACAACTATTTTTCAAAATTCTTGCTTTGCTTTAGATGCCAGTTTGCCTTCTGGCTAAAAACACATTCTTCACACACGCTGGGAATGTTGAGGAAAACTAGTCAGCATTCAGAGGATTAATACAGATTTCCAGCTCTGTGCCTTTAGGCTTAATAGTCAGACATCTATTTGTCCTCAGGAGAGGTTAGGAGTTGAAATGCAAATATGCAAACAACTGAATTCTTTGTTAAGGTATCAAGAAAAAGCTTGATCTTTGCTGCTGTTTAATAAATCCTTGCAATTTTATGGACTTATTTAAATGCAGCTTTGTGTCTTACTATTTTGAAGGAGAAAACAATGCAAGGAAACAAACACATTCATTCTGACTAAAATTTGTTCTCTAGAGGAAAAATGACATACACCCTTGACAGCTTATTTACCAAACTCACTAAAGATTTATTGATTTATCAATCAGTGCCTTGAGCATTTGCTTCTCCCCAAGGGAAAATTAACAATTCCAGCTAACCTAATATATTCTATGTATAAACTAAGTGAATGCAAGAATCAATCCTGGCACAGTTTACAACATCCAGATAAAAAAATGCTGTCCCTTTTGGTGTATGTAAAATTGAAAGCTATACTAACGAAGAATAAATGCTCATGTTGCTTAAAAACATAAAAAATACTTATTAAGATAGTACAATTGAACCCAACAGACATTTTAAATCATTTAAATACTCAGTGGGAGGCAAAAGCATTGGAAAATAAAAAATTGAATGATTTTGCTTCTAGATTAATACTAAGTACTACCACTATTAGTTGCAATACTGACATGCCTCAAAGCAGAGATATTTCAGAGCTACGAATTCTCTTTTACTTCACCTGCAAAAGCATAAGCCTGAAAATTAATTAGTGGTTTGCTGATGTCAGAGCAACATAAGAATTCCAGAAGATGAAAATGAAAATCTAGGAATATTTTGTCATTTAACAAAGGAAGAAAATGTTTGAACGCAAATAAAATGTACTGTCATCAGTGGAAAAAAATTAAAATGACGGTAGCGAAAGCAAAATGCAGTAAACATAAGATTAACTTTTCACTACAAAGAGTAAAAATATCCAAAATATATATAAAATAAAAGTTTGAAGTACAAAAGAACTGGTATAGCAGCTCAACGCATCAATGCTACCGTGTTGAACCTTTGCAGCACCTGATTACTACAGGGACCCACAGAATGCCCCAACCTCTGCTACGTAAGTAAGCACGTGAAGAATAGATACAGCAATGTCTTCTCTTCAAAACCAAGAACAACAATCCTACACACACACAAAAAACCCACCCAAACCCCACTACCAAAACCATACAGTATTTTCTCTACGCTGATGAGGAGAGAGCTGCAGCTTAGCTGCAGAAGCCTATCGACAGGAGGCCTTGTCGTCACAATTAGTATCTTCTCAGCAAGATGTGTTCTATATGAACGTTAGAATCCAACATGTAAAACCAACCATGTATTTTTTTTTTAAAAACTTCATATACATAATTCCATTTACCAGAAGTTTTAGTATAATCCACAGAATTGAAGGCTTTACTAAACATTAAAAAGTGCATTTAGAGGAAAATCCTCAAGACATGTCATGACCCCCTCCCTTTTTTAAAAATAGAACTAAGAAAGAAAATTGTCATCCAATCACAGTAAGAAAATGCAGGAATTATTGTAAAACACTGCCCTCTGGTGTTAAGCCAATTCTAAATTCTATTTTATATTTAAGATCCCCCCAACGACCCCCCTGCATTTTTTTTTTATTATTTTTTATTTTTTTACCTGAAAGAACCACCTCCAGGGTCATTCAGCTTGTTTTTCTGATTTGCAGAGACCTGAACACCAAAGCCCCCAGGACTTTTGCTGGCTTGTATTGTTGGTGCCTTCCCTACTGTGCCTGAAAAACACCAAGCAATGTTATTATGAGCTGTCTTAGACAATTTACATCAAAGAACCTTCTGTCCAGGAACTAAATTTAACTGTCTGTAAATTGCAAACAAAGGAAGTTATTATTTTTAAAGATTACACTGCTGAAGAAGAACAATTTTAAATACAAAATTTATATTAACATTACAGTTTGTTCAATGTTTACAGAATACTGAAGATTCCAAAACTGAAAACCGCTGGCCATAACTCATTATAATACACATAATGGCTATAAGTGTGTTTGCAATTGCCAGTAAACCATTTTTCTAGATAATCTGCACAGAATAAAGAAGCAGAATTTGAAATGTTCTTAATACAGATGCTTTAAGTCACAGTCACTCAGGGTATTAACTATGCCTTTTACATTTTTCTTTATAGTCATTGTTCTTTGTTGCAGTGAAAAACATGTATTTTCAGAGTTGAAAACATTACTTTAAATATTTTAAAATGTTTTATATTGTATGTAAAAGAAAAAACACTATTGTAAAATTTTATATAACCCCCCTCATGAAGGTTGTCTTTCACTTTCTTATTTTTAAAATGATGATTTAAAAGTAATTCATCTCTGTATCTAGACTTCACAGGTCTATATGTAGAAGTAAAACTGGGCTTTCTAAATGAGCCAAAGTGTGGTGGACATTCAGCTTCCTGTGACAGTAAATTAAAAAATGGATATTAATTCCTCTCTGACATTTGGAAAAATCTAACCAAAAACAATTACAAATTTAAGTTGCTGATTAGTAAATCAACAGACCTGTATTACTATTATTAAAAACATTGTACCAGTATGCAACTGAAAAAGCATTGACAAATGAAACTTTTGGAGCAAGCACTCCTTTACTGTTTAAACACATGTCTACTTGGGTTATATTTTGTGTTTCCTTTAATACCACCTGTGTTTTGGCATGTGAAAATAATTAATTCATATGTCTACTTGACTTAAAAGATCTCACCTTTTTCTTGTATATCACTCAATTTTATTGAGCATTACATACCTATAGCGTTTGAGACTTTGAGAAGTATGTGAAAGTTATTCCTGCACATCTATGGCTCAATTGCATATAAATGACATGGTATGAACCCTAGTAGAGTTACATTATTTTTCTTTCATGAATTATAAAAACCTGAAACACAACTATCCCAACAAATCCTTTTAAGAATACTTCTTTGCTAAAACCAAAATGTTAGCTTTGAATGAGTCCAGCATTACTTTTTTTATTTTGAAGTCTTCATCAACTTCAACATATGATCTTAAAGCGAAACTAATTTGACAGTGTTCGTTCAGTTCTTCAGTCTGTATAAATAAACTGTTGTGTGGACTCTCAACATCAGCAAATATAAAACAAGATTTAGGACTTCAGGCTCCAAGCCTGGGGAACAAAAATATTTTGTCATCAGAATATTTAAGGTCCATGAGATGTCACAGATAGCATTAGTTCATGGACCAGACAATTCATTTATCTATTTCAGATGAACTAATTTAAAGGTTTTCAACTAAGTGAACTGGAAGGAAAGAAATAATACAGTAACAAAAATTAGTGGATCACTGCTTTCTACAATTAACATCTAGGAGATTAAAAGTGTGTTAACCTTGAAAATTATTGCAATGGCGAAATTAAGGTAACAGTGGCACTCCTCCAGAATTAATATCATATTCCTTTAGAACTAGTATCAATGGTTTGTTTTCTACAGATGATAACTTTTGATTAAAAAAAAAAACAAACAAAAACACAAACCAAAAAGGTACAGCAACAGAGTAGTTAACTTCATAGTCTCAGGAAAACAGTATGTCTACACTGGATATGGAAAAATTAAGTCTCACTTTCTTTCACCCCATGTATATGTAATTCTACTTAAATGGATCTGGCAAAGTAAATGTAAGTTTTGGGATGACATACAAGTTTTCTGATTTAAACCACAACAGTGCATGATTAAGCAGTTAGACACAAAATATGGATAAAACATCAATTTATATTATAAGGCAGGGCATATTTTGAAAAATAATATCACCTGTGGGCCTAGATATTTCATGGGATTGATAATGACATACAGAGTCTTTCACCATTGGGTCCTCGTTTAAAATTTTAAGTAGCATGATCTAGAGAAATAAGCCCAAATTTAGGAGCTTATAGATTCCTAGTTGTATTTCTTTAAATATAATAATAAATTATAATATATATATTTATATATATAAAAAATTATTTTATTCTTTGGCTCAATTCCCCCATCCATAAGATGCAAGTCACCTAATTATTATACTAATAAGTACTTTGATAAAGGAGTGTGAATTTTTCATGCAATAACTATAGTGTTATTTCTCCTGGTGTGGAAGTAATTTTATTAATACAAAAATCCTTAAAGCCTGCCAACTTTATCTATACTACTGTTTAAAAAAAGCATTACAGTCTGTTCACATGGATGCATTAATATGACTGTAAAGATACATTACACTAGGAGATTTACTCCTATCTGAGAAGGAAAATTCACCATTCTGTGGAAGTCAGCTCAGTTCTGGTGTAACTATCATTAAAAAGTCACACTCCACAAAATTATACTACTGTAATTTTCTATATAGACCACATCCTATTCCAGTATCTTAACTCCTTCTACAGGAATACCTAGGCCAGTATAAAATATCATTAAAATACTGGTGTTTACAGGAGAAAGTTTTAACAATATATCAAGATCAAAATAAACGGATATCTGACAGTATGCCATAGCGGCATTTCACACAGGCAGACTTTTCCCTAGACGTGGGCTGCAGGATGAGCAGTTTTACAATGGGATGTTTTCTGAATTTCTATTCTGTTTGCTTTGTCTGTGTAATTAAAACAATATAGTGGCGGGCTTAAACAAGCTTGTAAATAGGGATAAGCTCACCTGGAAGCGGGGCTTTGCATGAATTGGCCTTTATGAGCCATCGTCTTCCTTAAGCCAAACTGCCAGTTAAGTTGCATTTCATTGGCTGATCAATGGCTATCATGAATAAATTCGTATTCCAAATCCACTGTTTGAAAGACAGATGCCAGTATCATGCAAATTCGTGGCACACTGTTGACATTCACAACTTAGAGACTGAACAAGCAAAGAAATGAAATCAGCCTTCACTCTCAGACACATTAGTCAGAAGTGAAAGTTCATGCTATAAGATGCTGAATACCTTCCCTGTTAATAAACTCAGGACATGAGTATCTGTGCTATCAAATATACATCTTTTATGACAAGTACATGCATTTCTTCCTAACTTGGAAGAACGGCCTACAGGATTACAGTGACAGCTTGGCCTCCATGTCCATTCAACCTTTGGATTTTCTGGAGGGAACAGAGCAAGTAGAACATCAGCTGCTATTAACTGTGATCATTGGGGGTTTTTATGATTTCTTTTCCCAAGGAGAACAGAAAAGATCAAGCAATAAAGTCAAATAGGCAGCAATAGCTTTTATGTGCATTTAAAATAGTTTGATTTCTGATTCAATACCTAAAGATGACAAGCTCTGTATTCCATTACAAACCCTCGATCATCTAAATGCCCACATCCAAAAAGATACTCTCGCACATAATCAGGAAAAATAAAAACCGAGCCTAACAGGTCTAGTGGTGGAAAGAAACAAATGGATATTTGTTAGAAAGTAAGAAGGCTTCAAGAACCCTCTTAAAAAGTGGGATGTATCAGCCAGACATTAATCCACCTGTGCACAGAGAGATGACAAAGTTGTGTACAAACTACACCTCTTGCTCCCCTGGCTAATCATGGCATGTCAGGGTGCTGCAGTCAGTCTCTGACCTCACCAAAGAGTAAACGTACTGGCGGGGGGGGGGGGGGGGGGCCGGGGGCAGGCACGTGGGTTGAGAAATTTCTCTAGGACTCCTACCTTGACCTCTGTAGCTGCAGAGAGAGTGACTATCATGTTCCGCTTCAGGATTAAGAGTTAAAAGTAGGATGATTAAATTGAGGCATCCTCTAGGCTTCAGGAAAAAATGAGTAATTTCTCTCTTGGCCCAGAGTTAGAGCTTAGGACAGTAAGAGTCAAGTTCCTGACTTCTTTCAGAACTTTCCACGAAAAACTGCTGAGTAAGGAGCTAAGCACGTGAGAGTTTAGTCCTAAGGTTCTTTCAAAACATTTCACTGTGTTGGTCTGAAATACCTTGAAACTGCATAGTGGAAACATGCATTCCTCAGCCAGTATGAAGTAAAAAATAAATGTCAAGCCTGCCAATGTCAACACTGTAAGTTTTTCCCATGCTACTAGTTTGTAATTACAATGAAATTCACACAAAGGTAACAATCTCACTAAAACATTTAAACCCATACCTTGTGGTCTAATGGTCTGAGTTATTACCACTGGCATCCTAATCTGGGTAGTCTGGCAAGCAGGGTTTCGTTTCACAGTTTGAGCAGATGTTGACTGGATAATCTGCTATTATTAAAAAAAAGTATACTTATATTATACTCTTTATACACAAACACACACAACGTAAATATACTAATACCTGTAATTACTAATATAAGCATGTGGATCTCTAAAAGCACAACCAGCTAGTGACAAAAGTCATATTCATGTAATGCATGCGGTTGTGTGTGTGTGTATATACCTATTTTGCTGTTATGCTTTAAAAAAAAAAAATCAAATAATATTCGACACAAATGTCATGTCACAACCTTCATCAAAAATATATTTCAAAGTAGTAAGGTTAATATTAAAGTTTAGACTTTTGTCTTCAGAAATTTTACTAGGAAGAAAAGCATTTTTGTAGAAGAAAATGCTGCAATAATTTTAGTGGTATCCACCTACAAGCATTAGGCTTTTCACTCTATATCTAAGTTTTTTAAAGAAAATATATACTAAAAGTAAATTCTAAAATATTATGGGTTCCAAAGTCAGATATACACAAGAAAGAAAACAATGTTTTGTGGTGATCATACTATTCATCTTTTAAATGTTAATTGGATATTCTCAAGGTTTCACTTACTACTAAGCCAAGTTCTGAAGTCCTTACCCAAAACTGAAACTGGGTTAAAAACTTAGAATTTGACCCATAAACAAATCAAAATAAAAAAAGAAAGAACCTGCAAGGGTCATGTCTAAGCAACAGCAAAATGTACGTTCATGAAATCAGGGACAAGGCAGGTACAGATGTAATGAAAAGAAGATTCAAAAAGACATGTGGATGCTGCAGAGCTGGAAAAAAAAAATCTGTAAATAAACTTGAAAACAAAACACGGGCAAATAGCTGCGAATAAGATTACAACCACAACTCAGGCATGACAACTTCAGAAGTCATGTGCTCTTCCCAGTCACAACTATGTTACTCCCACTGCATAATGCGTCTGCTGTTTCTGACTTGCACGTCTCAGTTTCACACCCACAAGATGCAGTATTCCCTCCTAGAAGACAATATGCCACGCTACACACCACGACATGAAGCAAACAGGAACCACTGCACCTTTATTCAGCACCAGTCAGCATTATTCTTAGAAAGTGTATCTAAAACCATATTATTTAGCTGAATAATGAATGGCCAAATCTCTGACTTCAAAGTATGCTATGGAGAAAAGGAAAGGAGAAACAGTATTTTCAAATGAGACATAAAAGTAGAGAATGAAGAGGCTAGGGAACAAACAGGAAATTGTTCCATCAGCAGGGCTCCCAAATCAGAAGGAAGAGAGGTGAAAACTACAAACAAGAAAAGAGTAATGAGGGAACAAGACCTGTAATGCAGTCTGTAGAAAAAATAAATAGGGCCATTTTGAAATTACGAAATTGCATTCTGTACATCCTAAAATATTAAAAGTTGAAAAGTCATAATTAACCTGTGGATGCAGAAGTATTAGCAATAGCTACCTTGCGGAAAGAGAAAAGGGAAAAAAAGATTAAGGATTCAGCTTCAGCTACGGACAATGAAGGAAAATGCAGCATTTGTATTAAGCACAGAAACGGAGCAAATGGATGTACATTTACTTGGTCAAGACAGGCAGTAAGTATATAGTGACACTCAGAGGGGAAAGAATAAAGTAGCTACCATGCTTAGAAACAGGAAAGAAATAGAGGTGATAAGTGAACATGAGGGAAGAAGTTGAATTTGACTGCATTTTGATGCACAGGAAACATGTACAAGTGTATTTTAATAAGTAAGGAGTCAGAATAGTCCACAGAAAAAAAAAAGACTACATTGGTATGAAAAAGAAGGAGAATGTTGCCACTTTTACAATAATTTATTGGATGAGTTTTCAAAGAACAGTGAAGACAAGCAGCCATACCTTAACTGGCCAGAAGCCAGGCCAAAAAGGACATGTGTGTGACCTGTGGATAGAATTACTATCTGGTATTACAGTAATCATCTGCGATTAGATTTTTTTCTTTGTGAAGCAAGCAACTTCTACAGTTCAGAATCAAGTTCTGTTTCACCTGATCAATATTTTCATGTAAATGCCCTAAAAAATGAGCCACTAACACCATTAAAGATAGGACAGTATATAACCATTTAAGATGACATAAGTAATGGCAATGTTTTCTTTACTATCAAACACATTCAAAAAACGTCCTTTAACAAGTACTGTACTAGGACTTCAATGTATGTGAAAGTGCTGGAAGTGTAGAAAATGATTGAGAAATATACTTTTCCAAGGGACACAGATCAAAATCATCATCTTAAATTCCATACAGAAAGCAATCTGCAACAAGCACGTACTCTCAAAAAGGAACAACTGCACCTGAACTCAGAGCAACATTTTACACTAACTTAAATTCCAGTGTCTATACAGTTTTAAGACACGTTTCAACACAAATGTAACCTTCAGATCTGGAAGTGACTGAGGAATGAATGTTAGCAATTTGTTTCTGAAACAGAACGTGTAAACTTCTTTGCAGGCAAAAAAGGGACATATTAAAAACTGATGAATCAGAGGTCATTGACCTTGCATTAAAATTTATAAACAATCTAAACCACCCTTCATCAATTGAAATAACTCAAACTGTTCTAATACTCTTGCCTATTTTCCCAACAGCATAAACATTACTATTATGTCTTTAACTTTGCCTGAAAAGTGTAGACAATGAACAAGGTGCTAGCAAGCTAGTCTGGGAGATGATTAACTTAACCAAATTATTTCATATTTCTCACAGCCTAAAAATACACACAATGAGTGTACCCCATCTAATGTTATCTATTCAGATGCTGAATCGATGCTGAATCCCAAATGATCAGTTCGTAAGCACCAATTTACTAACCCAGACTGATACAGAAGATACAGAAGTGGATGTTTTAGTATACTGAGGTTATCAGGGACATTACATTGATGCCTTCAGAAAAGGGGGGTATCTTATTGCTGTCTGCAACCACCTAACGCGAAGATGAAGAGAAGACTCACTCAGACTCTCTCAGAGGTGCAGAGCAGAAGGATGTGACACAATGGGCACAAGTTGGAATATGGGAAATTTCCGTTTAATATAAGGAAAAAAGAAATTTACCAAGAGAGTGGGCAAGCACTGGAACAGCTTGCCCAGAGAGGCTGTGTAATCTCATCTTGAAGATACTCAAAACATGACTGGTCAAGGCCCTGGGCAACGTGCTAACCTGTAAGCAGGAGGTTGGACTAGACACCTGCAGAAGTCCTTTCCAACCTTTTACCACTACACCCATAATCATAATATCAATGATCTTATAAAAGTGCTGAGTCAGAAAAGGTAACAAGACAGAATATAAAAGTCTTCAAAGTTTACAGAAACTGTTCATCATTCCACCTCCACTAAAAAGAAGGGAAGCCATTTTCATTATTTCCACCACTGAAAACAGCAAGCACAACAGCAGAGCAGTAACAACAAAGGCACAGAAAATAAAAAAGATTTAATGTGATTTAGCCATTGCCTGGATTTGGTAATGAGTTTGGAAAATAACAAAATTACTAAACAAAATTGTGATCAAGACAGTGCCGAGACAGCAAGTACTGTCATATACCAGCTTATTCCTCTTCAATCTATCAGTCAAAAGTCGAAGAATCATCTCTTAGGCTGCTGCACTTTGGAGCTCTTCAAGGAACACACTGAAGCAGAAAGTCATGGCATTGCTTCTCCAAGTGTAATATGTGAACAGTTACCTAAATTTTTTTTCTATAAAATAACATTTTTCTGCAAAATAAGACACATTTCTCACAACAGAAAGTATTCTCCCTTTTTTATTTCACCTTCCCTCTTCTCCCCTTAACCATCATCTTTCCACTCCACTAGTCACGCTCACTTTGATTCACCATCTGTCTGCTCCCCCAGACAAGTTCCTTCTCTCACCTCCCGAATGCTTCAGACTACTATTCTGTCCATTTCTAAAGTTCACTTCATTTTCACATCTGTAAAAAGGGATGGTTGTACAAAGGTGCTTCCACAAAACAAGCAGACTTTATGAAGATGAAAAAAGGATATTTAACAGCCACACTACTGATAACCAGAATAACAAAGTGGTGACAGCTGAAATACTCATTTTTCCTAAGGCCCTTCTTCAAAAAGCTTAGATTCAATAACTATATGAGAATAAAGTAATAGTGCTCTCTGGTCCCTATCTCAAGCCAAAAGGTGATGACCATACCATGACAGGTGTGAATCTTCTACTGTATATGTTACTGCAGGACAAAGATTACAGATGTGAACACAGACCAATAATTAACAATACAAATGACCAACAAATACAGACTGAGAAAGAATTCAGCCAAAGCACATAAAATATATAAAAGCAGAAAGACTGATAACTTCTGTTCTCTTTCTCTTACCTAAACAGGAGATACTAAGTAAAAATGAAAGCTACTAGCTACAAACCATTGAAAGGAAAACTCCTTTAGGACAATTAGATTAGAACTCACTGCTAAAGTCTTTGAGGAGAAGGATTTTGCAAGTCTCAAAAATCTAGATGCTCCTTTACCAATGCAGATGCATGGGGTCCCAACAATATGCTTCCCCTTACTTGACAAGGGCTGCAAAATCAGCCTGACTCTATTTACATAAATCACACTTTGCAACAAAAGCATCTGATCCAAAAGCTTAAGCATATCAAATACAGCAATAAAAACAAAAGCATAGGAAACAGAAGCTTCTGCAAAGAATGGAAGATAAATTTGGAAAATATATCCCTTACCAAGCATTTTTTCTCTCAATTAAGTTAAAAAAAGTATTGTGGAAGGAAGAAACAAGCCACTTGTAAATGTACAAAATTCAGAATGGCTATGGTCTGATATGACATTTATCTTCACTCATGAGTAAACGCTTGCTAACTCACTTGTGGCTATGCCACTTGTGATTTATCAGTTTACTCAATCCTGAAGATAAATGTCATATCAAACCTCAGCTATCATGTAATCTGGCAGCATTAACTTACAATGTTCATGCTTTTATGGGCCTAGAATTCATATTTACCATTGTTTACCACATGGTAA